CGGGCTAATCAAAAATATCTAAAGTTATTCTTTTGAATGTGGGTTTTAGTGCTCTTCAATAAACCTAAATAGAATTATTCTCTAAAATAATTAGGGAAGCCAATAATTGACCCCATTAAAATTTACATGGGATTTCCTATGTCCCGCTCGACGATGCAACACCCGGTATAATTTTGACAAAGACAGAAAAAAGAAGAAAGCTACGGAACTTCGCAATAAACCCCAAGCGAAAAAAATGACACGCCGCTAAGAAATTACATTGACATTGACAAGGCTCGTGCGAAGAAGGCAAAAAAAGGCGAACGAGGGAAGGAAGCGATATTAGGAAATATTAGCCGCGGATTTGGCGTGAAAGGCGGCTTGGACTTGTCTGGCAACGAGTGAAAAATGGTGGTCGTTATTAAAACAGTCGATACGACACCGGGGACCCACCGGATACAGCTTCAATAAAAAGTTTTTTTTGTATATAAATCATTTTTATCCCTTCCTTAAAGACGGATTTATTAAACGTCTGAATCGATTAGGCAAGCAATGATTGCTATGGTGGAATAAAAAAATATTATACAGGGTGTCCCAGAAAGATATGAGGCGTCAAGTTGCAAAACCCGCCTTAAGCTTGATTTTCATGCATCCGTTATACGTTGATACTAGTAGTGGGAACTATCGAATGAATACTATCGAAACATTCGATAGTTGCAATTCATTCGAATAATTCGATAGCTAGTAAGAAAATATTCGTCGAAAACTATTCGAATAAAAATTATCGAATAGATGCGTCATCTGCCTTGAAATATTGTATTCTAGTAATTCGGCAGCAAAAACCATTCATTTATAAAATTCATTCATTTATAAAATTAATTTATTCGTCAGGATAGATTTTAATAAAGTATAAACTGGATTTTAGTTGTCGTCCGGCGACGTAGGTTTCTTTCCTAGAAAACTGACGGCGGTCGGTGGCAATGCTATGAAAGAAGCCGGCATCTTTGATTTTTTGCGGAGTCAAATAAAGATAAGGACACATTATATTTTTTTATTGAGGTGCTAGTATTTACACAGAAAATACATTATGAAGAGCGCTGTTGCCATATATTCGTATTAGTTGGTATTAGCAAAGAATATTATTCTTTAGCATTAGTTAGTTAGGGATAGTATGTCTATATGTTTTGCAATTTTTATTAATATTCTGTTATTACACTGCAATACTTTTTATTTTGGATGTAGGAAAATGACTTTTAATATTTTTAAGCAAAGACTGGTTTAATAAATAATAATATCAGTAATAATTTGTTATACCTATTAACAACAAAATTTAAAATCATTTAATAATATAAATTTTTTTTTTAAGTAGTAGCAAAATATAAACAACAAATAGAAGTCAAAAGTATTTATATTAGATCCAATTTAAAAATAATATAGTTTCTAAATGGCAACGTTGGTTTATTAAATAATAATAATTTTGTTATATTAACAACAAACTTTAAAATCATGAAATATAAACATTTATTAATTTTCTAAGCATGCAGTGTAATGGAAGGAAAATATAAATAAAAAATTAGAAATCAAAATTATTTATATTACTTTTTATTACTTTATATTACTATTTAAAAATAATATTTACTTTTACTGGCATTTATTTTAAAAAATAAATGAAATATTTCTTCGCAAAAAACTACATGTAAGAGAATTAGCATAAACAAAATACAAACATTGTTAACTTTTTTTTTAATTGGCACGTATAAAACTTTCAATTTAATTTTCTCACCCCAAAATTTGAGTTCAATAACCATTTACTTAACCACATTACTTAAATATGATTATTAAGTTCAACTTATTCATATTATTAAAACATCCAAAATACAAATATGTATTTTTAAAATTAATTGTAAGTTCATCTCATCTCTCTTAAAAATTGTTACTTCTCAAAATTTCCCATTAAAAAAATGCAATCTAACCTAACCATAATATACCATATAAAATTAAATAATTGAAAGATCGGGCTACGGAAAATCACACAAATTTTCGGAAAAATTTTGACCACTTCGCACACTATCGTCAATTAAAAAAACCTACTATTTTAGTATTTTAAATATTTTAATAAACGCAAAAATAGCATAGTATTTACAAGGCGAAGTTCTAAAATTTGGAAGAAGTAATAATGCACTGACGCACACAAAAATCAAAGGAATACTAAATTTAAATTTCATTTATCAAAAACATTCGATAGTCGTGGCTCGTGGCGCAACGATAACCATTTAGTCGCACGGCGAGGTTGTCACTTATGCTTTAGTATACAAATGAGGGTGCAGCCACACTTTCACAAAAACAGCGTATCGGCGTAACGGCGTAATGACCTTGAATAGATTTCCAGTAATTCTATTGGCTGAAACATTCATCTGTCAGAAATTTTATCTGTCAAAAATTTCAGCCAATAGAATTACTGGAAATCGATTCAAGGTCGTTACGCCGTTACGCCGATACGCCGTTTTTAGGATAGTGTGGCTGCACCCTGAATGAATGATTTTATTCGAATAAAACCATTCGATAGTTGAAATCATTCATTCAGTAACCATTCGATAGTCTAATTCATTCGATAGTTCCCATCGCTAGTTGATACGTTGCGTTGGTCCGACGGTGCTCTGATTGGTCATAGCGTTTTCGCGCCACTTTTCATCCGTAAATATTTTACTTCAGCCCGTCAACGGACCCGTTCATACGATAACGGACGTTTTGACACTTTTTTGACAAATTTAATCTAATCTTAATAAAAATATAAGTAAAATAGCAAAATCGTTATGGAAACGAAAATATAAAATAACACCAACCTATATCCGATAAACGGAGGCATGAAAATGCAATAAATTTATAAACTGCGTTATTTTCTAACCAATCAAAGTCTTTAAATTCTACCAATAAAATTAATATCGTATCAACGTATCGTCGGACAACGGATGCATGAAAATCAAGCTTAACTCGTTAAATTTTCGCCAAATCTTATACTGCCAGTTTAATCTAGAATCTTATGTTTTATTCCCGTAAGGATAAATTGCAGGACAACATTTTCTAAAATTGTTTTCAGATTACCTCTAATTTCGTCTTTTTACCAAATCTTGTCAGTTAATTTAATCCTGATCGACGTGCCAATACTTTTGTCAATTTGTTTGGAAGCTTTCCTGTTTTTTCCCCACCCTTTTTTTCTTTCCTCCATTTTTTTCCCTTTCTTCCCCTAGCAAAATCCCGAGATTCCACTTGTCTCAATCCGTCTTTGTTTATAGAAAGTTTAGAGACAACAAAATGCTTCAGAAAAAAATATAGTGCCTGAGGAACGGTTTTTTTTTGTTATAAATAATTAAAAGAAGTTTTAATTATAGAATATGGACATTTAAATTTACAACTGAAAAAATCTATGGCAATTTAAAAAATACACAGTTCTATTCAGTTCTAATAAGTTCGCCATTAAAATAAAACAATTAATTTGAAATGGTCAAAATGTGGATTTCTGTAATCCATACATAATAATTCGTCTATACAGGGTGGTCCGTCCAAACTGTATTCCGGAAACTATATGTTTGTCCTTAATTTATAATTTTTTCAGTTAAATAACTACTTACTCAACATGTTTATTTTTTGTCAATTTCGTATTTTTGCCAAGAGACATTTTTCACATAAAAAATCACGGAAGTATATATTTGTTTACTCCTTTGAATAAGAAGACTAAGGAAGGAGCATAATGCTATCCATGTATTTATGCATGGTGGGCGGAAAAGCCACCATAAAAGCTCTCTATGGTGGGGATCCTTGACAGTTCTGTTTGACGATTTATTTGACACATTTGAATTTGATTTGAAATTTTGTGGATTTGTCAGTCTTTACGGAGCTTATTTTATGTTATTTATTATTTATTCTACTACTGATAGTTGTATAAAGGTAGTAAATCTAGATGGAAATTGTGGCAGAACTTAAATTAACAGTAACACTATCGCGATTTATCAAAAAAGACTCTAAAATAGTTGGTTGTGTAGCGTGCGGTAGATCTCGGCAAAAATTGAGTGAAATAATGGAACAACTTTTCGCTAGTAAGTGACTATATAATATACATACGTGTAGTAAACCGATCATTTATGAAATTCATTTAAATTAACTAAATTATATATTTTTCTTGCATTTTAGCTTTTATTTATTACTTGTCAAAGATTAGATGTCAAAGAATTTAGATACGTTAATTTGACTTACCTGCTTCAGTAGCGTATCGGATGTTTGTGTTAATAAATACTTATTATAACTTATCTATTTTATTAGAATTATATATTTTTATAACAATTTTAATAACTACCAACATTTATTCACAACGTAAAATAAAACAACAAATTATTGAGTCTACCCCACGTCTACCCTACATCATAGTTTTACATTTTTTAAATAAAATTAGAACGACACTGATAAACCGGAATTTAAGTCGGCCATATTTGAGGCCCATCGCGGTGTACCTAAGATTTTTGATATGCTCCTTCCTTAGTCTTCTTATTCAAAGGTATGATACCACCGCCTACACCATTGGCGTAGTCAAGACATTTATCAAAATTATAAATATCCCTTCAAGCAGGTAAGTTAAGAAAAATATATGGCCACGGCACTGTTTGGTGCCATGGTAACAATTTGGTTTCGAGTGTTATAAGTCCTTGTATTCTTTAGTCATTGGTTAAAATACATGTAGGTGGCGCCCCCTAGAAATAGGAGTCATATTGACATCAAAATCAAATTTCTCATGTCAAAAAACTCCCAGACACCATTTTTCATCCAAATATTGATGTTACTTCAGGAATTATTTGGAAAAAACCGAAATAAAAATGAAACTTCTACACCCTGTATCTCCAAAACTAATATTTTTATTAAATACATTTATACGAACTTTTTCACTTATTTTTATCTGCAGAATATGTTGCCGAAGTTTCCGGAATACACTTCGAACCACCCTGTATAGTAAATAATTCTTTTTATTTCAGTACCGGTAGCCTAATATACATGGCCACACAAATTGCCTCGGCTATGAAGTACCTAGAGTCCAGGCACGTGGTGCACAAAGACTTGGCGGCGAGGAATTGCCTGGTAGGCCGGGGGTACATAGTCAAGGTGGCCGACATCGCCATGTCCAAACCGCAGTACAGGAAGGAGTATGCTGAGATCGGTGGACGGCCTCCAGCTCCAATCCGTTGGCTACCTTGGGAGAGCATCTTATTGGTGAGTAGAATATAGATTAGGAGCATGGGCGCCGGACAGGGGGGCAAGAGGGGGCATTTGCCCCCCCCCCCCTGAATCACTGAAACAATAAAAATAAAAGCTTCTTACATCCATCTGTAAAAAAAATAATCATTATTATGAAATTGTTAGGTGTTACCTGTAAAATAATAAAAAATGTGGTAATTGTTGGGAAAACTGGAAATCGTCCGATTTTCACCAAAATTGGTATACACACTATTTTGAGGTCGTAGATTACGAATCTATTTTTTGTCTTGGCGGTCTCTTACCGTTTTTCAGAAAAACGGAAAATTATTTCAACATTGAATTTTTCTTTATTTCGGCCCTATAAAGTAATAATTTCACTATATTTTCATTATATTATAGTTTATCTAAAAGCCACACTTGATTGGGGATAGAAAAGTGTCCAACATTTTACTGAAAAACACTTTTCTTAACAAAATAGCAAAGAAAATTGAGACCAGATGGAAGTTTGACATTTGATATATCCTTCTTTCTCTCTCCTATGTAATAAGAGAGACAAATTTATTCTAGACCTAATCTAGAAATTTGAAAATTTACAACGTTGCCATATCTTCTATTTTTTCGGGTGATTACGGAATTTAAATAAATTACCTATTATGAGATCAACAATAATTAAATATACACCAATATCCACAAAATTACGCGGAAAAGTTTTGATTGCATTGGTTTTAACTTCTTTGCGGAGGAGGTTAATCTTTTCTTAGTTAATCTAATAATATAACAACAAAAGATTAACACCCTCTGCATGGAAGTTGTAACCAATGCAATCAAAACTTTTTCGTGCAACTTCGTGGGTATAAATAGTCAGATCTCGTTGGTAAAATAGCAGTTATGGGAAGGAGCCGTTCTTCTGGCGACCGCCTTTCGTAATTCCAGAATGAGCGAAAAAAACACGCTAAATTTAGGTTTAACATTGGCAACGTTGCTTTAAATGCCAGAAAGACATAAACTTACTTCGGGTTTCTCTTATTACCGATTCTGAACCGTCCTAGAACTGTGATGTGTATGCGCAGAAGGAAATATGAAGACATTACTTCATTTGCGCATGCGCTGCAGAGTTCTTGGACGGTTCAGAATCGGTAATAACAAGAACCCGAACAAAGCCATAATCTAACATTTTCAGATTGTTTACAAATTTATTTTAACAAATTTTCCTCTATTATGCATAGAATTGGTTAAAAAAGTAACAGAAAAGAGCAAAAACATTATTGATTATTGAATACCTAACAAAATATGTGCTAGAAAACCTTAAACATATGAGAAATTAAGAAAAATTCGATATTGAAATTATTTTCCGTTTTTCTCAAAAACGGTAAGAGACCGCCAAGAAAAAAGATTCGTAACGTTCAAATTCGTAATCTACGACTTCAAAATAGGGTGTATACCAATTTTGGCTCGAATTTTGGTGAAAATCGGACGATTTCCAGTTTTCCCAATAATTACCAAAAATGTCAATTTTTTATTCATTTTTACCTTGCCCCCCCCCCTAAATTTCATTCTTTCGGCGCCCATGACTAGCAGATCAGTAAGAAAAAGTTTTACTTCAAATATGCGCACATAGTGCACACACATTTTTTTTATTTTGTAGGTTTTCTTCTAGTACCGAAAAAAACAGAAATCTTGCCAAGAAAATATTATTATCTATTTAACATTGGCGGAATAATCTAATAAAAAACACTTTGAATCCAGTAGTGATGTTTTACAACTCCCAAAAAGCCGATTAAGTTTTTACTAACGATATTCTCCAAACAATTCAAATAAAAAACACAATGTAGTAGTTTAGGCTTTCGCGGCCATCGTTTGAAGAATTTTGGTTTTTCGGGTTATTAGGCCGTCGTCGGTTAGAATTGCTTCCTAACGTTTCGCTAGCACGAGTGGCTAGCATCTTCAGAGGTGTGTTTGCTCCGATTGCTCACACTAGACTGATGCCTCCGCGTCGGCGTAGCGCGTATTTATGCGTCGGCGGAGGGGGCGTGGCTTGTTCGGGTGGTAGTTCTTCCGGAACTGGTCTACTTCTCTGTGCTGCTACTTTGGTCCTAGATATAGCTGGATGCCAAATTCTGTTAAGGTAGAAAGTTTCTTCCTTCCTGTTGAAATTATTTGGATGTTTGTGAATTTCAACAGCTTCCCTGACCAGACGAGGATGATATCCAGATGTTGTGGCAATGACTTGGGTGTCTTCGAATTGGATTTTGTGATCACCATCTCTTAGAGCATGTTCTGCTACGGCTGACTTCTCTGTTTGCCCTAATCTGCAGTTTCTCTTGTGTTCCGTAAGTCTCGTTCCTACTGAGCGTTTGGTAGTTCCAATATATACGCTACCGCAGGAACAAGGTATACGGTAGATCCCTGCAGAGGATAATGGTTCTCTTTTGTCTTTTGCTGGTCTTAAGCAGTCCCTTATTTTTCGGGTAGGTTTGTATATGGTTTTGATGTTATGCTTCTTGAGAACTTTACCAATCCTATCGGTGACCAATCCTATCGGTGAGAAGTAGACCAGTTCCGGAAGAACTACCACCCGAACAAGCCACGCCCCCTCCGCCGACGCATAAATACGCGCTACGCCGACGCGGAGGCATCAGTCTAGTGTGAGCAATCGGAGCAAACACACCTCTGAAGATGCTAGCCACTCGTGCTAGCGAAACGTTAGGAAGCAATTCTAACCGACGACGGCCTAATAACCCGAAAAACCAAAATTCTTCAAAAAACACAATATTACAGAAAAACTGTGCGAACTATTTGTATCCTTCGACTACAGCCACTATTCCGGGTTGTTTTTCGAGGCGCAACTTTTCCGGCCCGGACTTTTTCTCCGGAACTATTGTTCTGGAGGAGTTGCGCCAGTGCCTCGTCGCAAAAAGCCGCCGTCTCTCGGAGTTTTGATTGAGTTCTTGTTTAAAGAAGAAAAAGTCGAAACAAATGCAAATAGAGGCGCGCACGGCGAAAAAGTTTCGGCGCCAGTAGGAAAAGTAATCAGGAAAATAAACATGAGGGAAAAACTAGAAATGTAAATTAAACATAAGCGGCAAGGAAGGCGGATGCCAATAAAAGACGGCAGCGGTTCTGGAGGCTGAGGAGGGAACGTTTCGAAGTTGTTTCCGTAACTATTTTTATGGGAGGCATTTTTGAGTTAATAGAAAAATAGCAGTCGCTTTTTTTGTCTATTAATTCGGGTAAAGTTTTCTTGTAAGCTTAGAAGAATATCAACAGACGACATCCAAATAATCATTGATAACTTTTAGATTGCCCACTCCCATGTTATTTTAGGGCCGTATTTTAGTGGCACCTAGCAGGAGAAGGAACAGTTTTTGCATAAAGAAACCTGCATTACCGATATCATTAACCGCCTTTATTTGAATCGGCGTTCTTTCCATTTTCTATAGTCAGATTTCAACTATTGAGCTTGTCAAGAAAATATTATTACCTATTTAACATTAGGGGAATAATCTAATAAAAAGCACTTTGAATCCAGTAATGATTTTACAACTTCCAAAAACCGATTAAGTTTTTTAGTGACGATATTCTCTAAACAATTCAGCTAAGGAACACAATATTACAAAAAACCAGACGAACTATTTGTATCCTTCGACTTCAGCCACTATTCTGGGTTGTTTTCGAGGGCGCAACTTTTCCGGCCCGGACTTTTTCTCCGGAACTATTTGTTCTGGAGGAGTTGCGCCAGTGCCTCGTCGCAAAAAGCCGTCGTCTCTCAGGTTTTGATTGAGTTCTTGTTTAAAAAGAAGAAAAAAGTCGAAACAAATGCAAAAATAGAGGCGCGCACGGCGGGAAAAGTGTTCGGCGAAAAAGTTTCGGCGCCAGTAGGAAAAGTAATCGGGAAAATAAACATGCGGGAAAAACTAGAAATGTAAATTAAACATAAGCGGCAGGGAAGGCGAATGCCAATAAAAGACGGGAGCGGCTCTGGAGGCTGAGGAGGGAACGTTTCGAAGTTGTTTCCGTAACTATTTTTATGGGAGGCATTTTTGAGTTAATAGAAAAATAGCAGTCGCTTTTTTTGTCTATTAATTCGGGTAAAGTTTTCTTGTAAGCTTAGAAGAATATCAACAGACGACATCCAAATAATCATTGATAACTTTTAGATTGCCCACTCCCATGTTATTTTAGGAGCCGTATTTTAGTGGCACCTAGCAGGAGAAGGAACAGTTTTTTGCATAAAGAAACCTGCATTACCGATATCATTAACCGCCTTTATTTGAATCGGCGTTCTTTCCATTTCTATAGTCAGATTTCAACTATTGAGCTTGTCAAGAAAATATTATTACCTATTTAACATTAGGGGAATAATCTAATAAAAAGCACTTTGAATCCAGTAATGATGTTTTACAACTTCCAAAAAACCGATTAAGTTTTTAGTGACGATATTCTCTAAACAATTCAGCTAAGGAACACAATATTACAAAAAAACCGGGCGAACTATTTGTATCCTTCGACTTCAGCCACTATTCTGGGTTGTTTTTCGAGGCGCAACTTTTCCGGCCCGGACTTTTTCTCCGGAACTATTTGTTCTGGAGGAGTTGCGCCAGTGCCTCGTCGCAAAAAGCCGTCGTCTCTCGGAGTTTTGATTGAGTTCTTGTTTAAAGAAGAAAAAGTCGAAACAAATGCAAATAGAGGCGCGCACGGCGGAAAAGTGTTCGGCGAAAAAGTTTCGGCGCCAGTAGGAAAAGTAATCGGGAAAATAAACATGCGGGAAAAACTAGAAATGTAAATTAAACATAAGCGGCAGGGAAGGCGAATGCCAATAAAAGACGGGAGCGGCTCTGGAGGCTGAGGAGGGAACGTTTCGAAGTTGTTTCCGTAACTATTTTTATGGGAGGCATTTTTGGGTCAATAGAAAAATAGCAGCCGCTTTTTTTGTCTTTTAATTCGGGTAAAGTTTTCTTGTAAGCTTACAAGAATATCAACAGACGACATCCAAACAATCATAGATAACTTTTAGA